AACCATTCTTAACCTTTTCATATGTATATTTTCACAAATTTTCTACACACACATGCAGACACACACACACAAGCAACATCTTTTAAGCAAAAACTGGGATGATTTCATAATGCTTCTTTTGTAGTTTTTCCTACTAAGCATGGTCATATTTCCATGTCAATGAGTATAATTTAGTACATTTTAATGACTGAATGACATTTTATTACACAAGATACAAAAAATTCCCTTACAAGTGTTTTTATTCCAAAATCAATACAATATTAATCGAAATTTTCTTCTATTACTTTTGTGCCTCATACTATTTTTGCCACTTCATTTGGCTTTTGTAAGACTATCTATTTAGAGAAACCTTATGTCTATTAGTTGGTACATCATAGATATGCTTTTTAGTGATATGGAGAAAATAATGAGGTGGAGGTGTACGGAAAAAGAGTAGAATGTCAAAGCTACTAAATCGATGGAATGAAGTTTTTGGATGGTTGCTAACCGACCCATCCCTAACATTTGAGAGCCTGACACAGGATACACATAGAAGGCCACATACTATATGTCTAGAGATTTAAATGCCTTAAATCTAGCTAACTGTATAAAATATGTCCTAGCCTTTTATCTTGACACATATATCTGGAAGGCCAGACTTGAGTTTGGAAACCTTGGATTTTTGGAAGTACTGAGCAACATGGTGTTTTTTGGGCATCCTAGTAAGCTGGGGACGGAGCACAGGTTTCTCTTGACCCTTGACCCTGTAGATGCCTCACCATGAGGGCAGGGGTGTGGCCAGAGGAAGGCCAGTGTGGGCCCCCGAAAACATGGGACCCAGAGTAAAGTCCTCTTTTGCTCAGGGGTGAGTGTGGCATTGCTTGCCAAATTTTCTTCTTTTGGAAAATAAAATAAAATATAGTTATTTAAATGTAGTATATCAATATATGTGTGGTGTGGAAACATAAAGCAAATAAGAAATCTATAGAATAAATAGTCAAGGTCCCTTTTCAACATTTTCCTAAACCTTTCCCTCTCTTTTCCATTGTTCATAGCGTGATGTGTATCCTTCCAGAATTTTCTGGTCATTTATATAACATGCTATACATACAGGTATGTGCACATATACATATAAAATACGTGTCTATGTATATTGTTTTAAAAATATACATAGGATAATACTGTGCATATTATTCTGTAAGCTTTTTTGCTTACATCTTTTTTAAAAGAATGACTCTGCAGTTATTCCTTTTTGTTCTTTCTCTCACTTGAATAAAGTAATATATATGTGTGTGTGTGTATATATATATATGGAGAGAGAGAGAGAGTGCCTTGGGTCACGTAGTCTGCAAGAAGAAAAGGTAATATATAGTCATGATAAAAAATTCAAACAATAAAAAATGGAATAAATGGAAATGCAAAAGTCTTTGAGGGTTGTCATCCTACCTTGTTCATAGAAATAACCACCATTAAAAGTTTATAGAGTCTGGGTGTGGTGGCTCACACCTGTAATTCCAAGACTTTGAAAGTCTGAGGCAGGAAGATCACTTGAGACCAGGAGCTTGAGATCAGCCTGAGCAACATAGGGAGACCCCATTTCTACAAATAACTAAAAAAAAAAAAAAAAAAAAAAAAGCTAGGTGTGGTGGTACACACCTGTGGTCCCATCTACTCAGGAGGCTGAGACAGGAGGATTGCCTGAGCCCAGAAAGTCGAGGCTGCAGTGAGTTGTGATCACACCACTGCATTCCAGCCTAGGTGACAGAGTGAGACCTAGTCTTATATTAAATAAATAAATAAGTAATAATTAAAATGTTTATTGAACTGGTTAAGGCTGCTCATTTTTGGAGATGAGTGATGAACACATTGGGATCCATTACATTGTACTGTTTACTTTTAGATACTTTCAGAGTTTCCCATAATGGAAAGTTACAATTTCTTAAGGAACACCTATTTTTAAAAAAATTATTGAAAACCTTTTTACCTGGTAAAAGCTTGAAGATGCTTTCACCATATTTATGCCACATTTTATTTGAAGTCCAAGTTTCCGGCTTGATCTTGATCTAAGCAAACCAGGGTTAAATGAGAGAGGCACCAGTGCGAGGAATGAACATAGGTGGTAATTGAGAGACTTGTGTGTGGAAGTCAAAATGGTCGACTGGCTGAGATAGGGATTCTCTAACAGTGTGGTATTGTTTGTGGTCTGGAATAGGCTCAAGACAAGGCGTGCCCGTGGTGGGGCTGGTGGTGGAAGGCGGTCCCAACGTCATCCTGTCAGTGTGGGAGACTGTCAAGGACAAGGACCCGGTGGTGGTGTGTGAGGGCACAGGCAGGGCAGCTGACCTCCTGGCCTTCACACACAAACACCTGGCAGATGAAGGGTGAGTTGTTGGTTCTTCCTTTTTGAAACTATAGGGGCTATTTATTCCTCCATTTTAGTTCTTTTGGCTGTGCATTTATGTGGGCCAGATATTCTTGGGTTATAGAAGTTGAGACTGGATTTTATTTCTCAGTGACTTGTTTGTTGTTCAACATCAAAATGCCCTTCAGCGATGCCAGTTGTTATTTTCTTAGCTGAAGAATGGCCTGCCTTTAAAGGGAAGCTTGAGTCTTGCTTGAACTTTGGGAAAAGGTGTTTGCAGGGGGAGTGAGGGAGGTGTGGCTCTAGCAATTGGCCATTACAGCCGTAAGGACCTTTCTGTAAGGGAGGTGGCCAGTGTTGGGCCCAGAGCACCTTCAAATTCATTTACCCTTGATGGAAATAGCAGAAATTGGGGAGGTCTGTATCCTGACATTTTCATAGCATATGTCGTGCTTATTTCAGGCTTTAATTCTTTCACCTTTTCAAATAAGATAATTTTTTCTCTTGCCCTCCCTCTATCCAGTGTGATTCTTTCAATTTCAAAAGCATGATATTTATACTGTATAAATAAGTACAGTACCTAAGAACTAAAATGTTGACTCCCCTAATTTGTTTAGTAAACAGTTATCTGCTGCTTATGCTGTAACAGCTCTCCGGAGTGCCTTTGCTTATGATTGCTCTCCCTGTTCATCCCTCCTGCCTCCACTTCCACCTCTACCATTTCCTGCTGCTTTCACTCCTCTCCCTTTTCTAAAATCACCCTGGATGTGTGGTTATTAAACCTTTTAGGGTTTCAGATCCTTTAGAGAATATAATACCTATAATTTCTGGAGATTCCCAGGCCACTGGAAATCTACCAGCTTCAGAACTCCACTTCAGGGTATATTCTTTTCAGGATGTGGCAGATCAACCCATTATCACTTTCTTTCTTTATTTTATAAATGTGAAAATAGAAGCAGGGTCTTACTATGTTGCCCAGGCTGGCCTCGAACTCCTGGCCTCAGGTGATCTTCCACCTGGGCTTCCCAAAGTGCTGGGATTACAGGTGTGAGCCACCATGCCCGGCTCCATTCTCACTTTCAAATTCAGCCTTCTTCTTGAGCTCCTGCTTCCGTTTGCTCCCCCTCATTTGCTCTCCTGGCAGAACTGTCACCTTTTCAGTCTGGGGAGCTGATGGGGTGTTTTCTTGTACTGATGTTGCCGGCTCATTCCCCCCTCTGGGTTGTGTCAAGACCATTTATTTCTCTTCCAGGATGCTGCGACCTCAGGTGAAAGAGGAGATCATCTGCATGATTCAGAACACTTTCAACTTTAGTCTTAAACAGTCCAAGCACCTTTTCCAAATTCTAATGGAGTGTATGGTTCACAGGGATTGTGTGAGTATGAGGAGTTGATGATTCAGCTGACTTAAGAACTGCTAATTTATAAATATTGTAATATTTATTTTCACAATTAGAAAAAATATGACGGACACAGGAAGGGGAACAACACACAGGGGCCTGTCAGGGAAGGAGCAGGGAAGGAGAGAATCAGGATAAATAGCTAATGCATGCAGGTCTTAATACCTAGGTGATGGGTTGATCTGTGCAGCAAACCACCATGGCACACATTTACCTGTGTAACAAACCTGTGCATCCTGCACATGTATCCCAGAACTTAAAGTAAAAATTTTAAAAATTAAAATAATTAAAAATAAAATATATGGATTTTTTTTCATTTTGATGTTGGGTATATCTAACTCTACAGAATTTGATTCTTAGTTGAGTAAACTTGGCTTCTTACTGTCATTGCTGTGTGTACTCCCCATGCTTCAAATTCTAGACTCTACTACGGAAAAAGCGCTAAGTATAACAGTGTTCCAGAAAAGTTATCAGATTTAGTGAAAATTACACAGATGTATTTTCAGAGGGTAAAGGAACAGCTCCGTGTCTTCAATGAACACAGCTTCATGGTGCTGAGTTACATGACTGCCTCACAGCATCCTGAGCAAATCCTGCAGGAAATCATTGGGAATGTATAGGACAATGGGAATAGTGAGAATAAACTCTGGGCTAAAAAATGGAGCCCACAAACTATGGGCTATTGCCATAATGTAGACTCAGGAAAAGTTTTTAGTGTTTTAGTGTTTTAGGGTACTGTGATAAAAAGATTAATTTATTTGATTAATTAATTTATTTGGTAAAGACAGGGTCTTGCTCTTTTGCCCAGGCTGGAGTGCAGTGGTGCAGTCATAGCTTACTGCAGCCTTGAATTCCTGGACTCAAGTGATCCTCTTGCCTTGGCCTCCCAAAATGCTGGGATTATAGGGATAAGCCACCACGCCCAGCCTATGAACAAAATGACTTGGATGATATGAATTATCAATTCTTTTTTTTATTTTATTTTTTTATTTTTGAGACAGGGCCTCACTACGTCACCCAGGCTGCAGTGCAGTGGCGAGATTTTGGCTTGCTGCAACCTCCACCTCCCAAGCTCAAGTGATTCTCATGTCTCAGCCTCCTAAGTAGCTGGGTCTACAGAGGCACGCCACCATGCCTGGCTAATTTTTGTATGTTTTGGTAGAGATGGGGTTTCACTGTGTTGGCCAAGCTGGTCTTGAATTCCTGGCCTCAAGCGATCCGCCTGTCTCGGCCTCCCAAAGTGCTGGGATTACAGGCTTAAGCCACTGTGCACAGCCTGGATTATCAATTCATATCAATGACTCAGATGAAATGAAGCTGACAATTACAGTAAACATGCAGATACGTCGTGATTCAAGGTGATCTTTCTAGAATCTGAAGGCTGGACCAAATTGTATAAGAATTGGTAATATTTAAGTACCTGGCCTCAAGAAAACCAAATGAAATGTTGTGGCTAGAGGAAGCATGACAAAATCTATGTGGAAAACTGTTTGGGGTTTTAGTTGGCTCGGTAACAACATTAATAGCAACCATGTTTATAATTAGCAGCGTGCCTATAAATATATTCTTTTCATTTGAAATAGCCCTGTGAGCAACTTCAATATGGCAGTGGTTGTTTATTTCCATTTTGGAAATGATGAAGCAGAAGACTAGAGAATTTAAGGGATTTGCAGTCATGCAGCTAAGAAATGACAGATCTGCCTGGGTGTGGTGGCTCATGCCTGTAATCCCAGCACTTTGGGAGGCCGAGGCAGGTGGATCACCTGAGATCAGAAGTTCGAGACCAGCCTGGCCAACATGGTGAAACCCTGTCTCTACCAAAAATGCAAAAATTAACTGGGCATGGTGGCGGGTGCCTATAATCCCAGCTACTTGGGAGGCTTAGGCAGGAGAATCGCTTGAACCCAGGAGGCGGAGGTTGCAGTGAGCCCAGATCGCACCATTGCACTCCAGCCTGGGCAACAAGAGTGAAAGAAAAAAATATATATATCTCTCTGAAACTTGAATTTCAGAAGAGTTGAAATCTTCTTAATCTACTACACTTTCTATTTGCCACAATAATCAGTAAGTTAAGAAAAGGACATATTAAAGAGATTGCCCTTGTGTTTGCCTCTTCCTGCCATCAAGCAGAATAATTAATAAGCAATGTAATAACCAATGAGGGCAAGAGAAGGCAGCAAAGGGCTTGCAGATGATAGGAATTGGGTTGTACAATTGAGGGTTGATTTTACTCATGCACATAGAGGGCGTGTCAGGTGAAAGGAAACAATGTGTGAAGTTATAGATGCATAGTTTTTTATCTTTATGATACCTTAGAGATTATTCAGCAGGTTCCTCTCATTTTATGGATGAGGAGCCTGAGATTCAGTCGCCTCACGATATTTACCTAGGACTAGCTTGTTAGTGGCATGCTTGGAACCAGGTCTTGCCAGTCTTGGCTTTTTCATTAAAACAGCTACTTCTACTGTATGAAATGTATTTTAATTTAAAAAGACTGAGATATAGTCATTAATATCAGGTGGCTCCTCCCCACTTTTTTTGAAGCAACAAAAGCAGAGATTTATTGAAAGTGAAAGCACGCTCCACAGGGTGGGAATGGGTGAGCAGGCGCCTTAAGCGCCCGCAGGTGACCCTTTGGAACCTAAGTAAAGAACTTACTTGTTTTTAAAGGAGTCAAAGACTGTCTGTGTTGCCCAGGGTACTTGCTCATTGGGTCCACTGTAATTACCTTAATTATTTTATGAGAGACCCTTGAGGATTCATTTCTCGTAAAAAAACAAGTCTGGCTGGGCGTGGTGACTCACCTGTAATCCCAGCACTTTGGGAGGCTGAGACCGGAGGATCGCCTGAGCCCAGGAATTCAAGACCAGCCTGGGCAATATAGTGAGAACTTGTCTCTACAAAAAATTAAGAAAAGAGAAGAAAAAAGCAAAAGTCTTAGTTTCCAAGGCTAGGTGAATGGAGGATTTCATTTGTTATCTCTTTGAAAGGAGACATGATTTTATTTACATTGGAAATTAACATTGAGGTTCTTTTTGTTGTAGCATGTACGTAGTGTAATAACATTCCTTCATAAATGTTTCCTCTGTACATGTGGAATTTTTAGTATTTTTCCCCCAAGTGCCCATAATTCTTTGTTACTCTGTTTAAAAGTTTTCTCTCCTATAAGTAAAAAAAGGTTTTAAAGAAGAATGTTATCCTCAATTCACTAGCTCCAGTCTGAATTCTGCGGGTACTCTTTGAAAGCATTTATTTGGTAGTTCCCCAAATGTATAGCTCTCTGTCTTTCACTGTTGTAGATTACCATATTTGACGCTGACTCTGAAGAGCAGCAAGACCTTGACTTAGCAATCCTAACAGCTTTGCTGAAGGGTGAGTATCTGGATGGGGTTGCAATTGTTCCTCACTTACGCTTCTCATGTTCCACAGTACTCTGTGCTACTTGCGTAGATATCTTCAAAAGAATATATGATTGTTCCTTTCTTTTACCCTAGGCACAAATTTATCAGCGTCAGAGCAATTAAATCTGGCAATGGCTTGGGACAGGGTGGACATTGCCAAGAAACATATCCTGATTTATGAACAACACTGGAAGGTATAGTGAAAATGAAGTTATTTGGAAAAAATATTTTGTGTGATGGTCTGTTAGGAAGAGGCAAAAGAGAAAATGAGAGGAGATATTGATTGGTTTGGTAGAAGTGTGGGGTAGCATCTCTGTAGCTGGGATAGCTAAGACACTTCTCCCATCGACTTTGCCTTCCTGAAAACTTTCTTCTTTTTTTTTTTCCCTGGCTTTGCAATCTAACTGAAGCTGAAAAGGGAAGTTGAGGGAAAGACAGAATGGAAGGTTTTAATTTAATTTTATTTATGTTATTTTACTTTTAGACACCAGGGCTCACTCTGTTGCCCAGAATGTCATGCAATGGTATGATCATAGCTCACTGTAACCGGGACCACAGGCGCATGCCACCATGCCCAATTAATTTCTTTGTAAAATATATTTTATTTTATTGAGACAATGATTTGCTATATTGCCCAGGCTGGTCTTGAGCTCCTGGCCTCAAATGATCTTGCTACCTTGGTCTCCCAAAGTGCCAGGATTACAGGCATGAGCCACTGTGCCTGGCGTATGATTTTTAATTGATTTTTGGGTAGATTTCTATCTTGTTATTTAAAACTCAAAGTTTATTTCCTGCTTTAAAATGTAGTAAGTGCTCACATTAGAAATTAGTGAAAACATAAAAAAGAAGAAAGACTGCCCATAATGCTAATGATAATCACTATTAATATTTCATTTTAAAAAATGATAGTTGTGGCTATAATACAGGTATATTATTTCTGGGCCAAGCTAATTAATACATGCACATTGTTTAAAATATCAAATGATATTAAAAGGCAATTTTAAAAGATGGTAGTTCTCTGCCCTGCTAATCACAAGAGCTAGTACTTAGGACGTTTTTGATTTTTCTAACGCTTATAAATCTCCATATTTCTAAATAATGTCATATTGCTGTATTTTGGTTCATCAGTTTTAGAAATTTTTCAACACTTCTGTCTTGTGGGCCTCACGGCTGCAATGTGGACCGGTTGCCTCTCCTCCCGGTAGGCAGCTGTCATCCCGGGATGCACCCTCATCATCTTGAGGATTCCCTTGCCTCTTTCCCATGTTAGATGGCATGTCTTCTATGTCCCTTGTCTTCCTCTTTGTTTACTCATTTATTTTGATGGTATACATGTTTCAGTAAGTTCCTGAGAAAGGGAGTATGAGAGATACATATTTTGAGGACTTACATGTTTGGCTGTATTTTAATTCATGACTTAAACTATTTTTTACTACAGAAATTTGAA